ACTCCCACCTCCAACACACCCGGGACATGCCAAGATAGATATAGCCCTCCCCGAAGGCCCAGAGGAGGTGAGGGCAAACTCTGGATGACAAAGAGTTGCATCAGCAATCACTGAGCGACATGACTCCAAGAGGATGAACAAAAAAAAAAATGCTCACTGCACTGTTCCAAACAAGTAATTCATAAATAAATCACTTGGCATCTCATTAAAAGACCCAAAACAACAACATGGTCTCTCATTTCTGCTAATACATCACAACTGAAGGTGGCGTATCAAGAGAAGTCTTTTTGGCTCGCGTGTTGGCACCACGTTGCTGAATGAAATGAACAATGTGTCTAATAAGCAAAGAGGAGATGTGAGGAGTGGGACGTTTTTCGGGGGTTCAAACCACAAGCACGATATCAGCGGCCTCTCATAAGACGACCAGCTGTCCTTCTGAAACTGCTTTTACCACGATGTCATCAGAACTGAGGCGCAAGATTTCTTTAGGTTTAGGATTTCTAGGGTACCACGAACCATCACCCCCCCCCCCCCCCCCCCTAGGGCAAATGCTTGTGATTTGCAGGGACAGGTGGTTATGTCCCCTCTCCCATGTTCTCCGCTCACAACCTCTTGCCTGTTTGTGCGGCAGAAAGAAGAAAAAAACCAAAGGAGCTGACAACACGACACACTTGTATAACCTCTCAAATGCAGGACGACGCTGACATGTCCGCACTGCCGAGAGCTTCACTTGACAAGCAGAATCATGCCCCTTTGTACCAGAATGGAACCGTACGGACAGAATGACATTTTGTGAGATGTCATTTTAACAAAGGGAGACGATAGAGGTATTTTGATCAAAGCGAAATTGCGCTCCGCCTTCAAGAAGCAAACACGTCAACTGAGAAAACACTTTTCACGTTAGATGACGTCAAACCAGAGTGTGAGAGAGAAATTCCAGACAGATGAACCCAAGCCGTTCACATCACATGTTGGAGTGAGGAGTTAATGTCATCCCACCTGTGATGACCATAACCTTTATTGTAATCATCAGGCAGAAACAGAGGAACTCTCCAACCTCCACATGCATCCTGTAGTGGCACAGACTGCACATCTCTCCATCGCCTATCAAGTCTCTGTCAGTCTGTCTCCTTTTCTTGGCTTATGCCTTCCCCCTCCTCCCCCTCCTCCCCTCTCCCCCACCCTCAATCCAATATCACCATAGCATCAGTAACCTTTGCATGGTTTACTGCTGAAGGAAAATACAGCAATCATGCCACAAATCCACTTTGAAATGCTGAAATATTTGTCACGAGAACTCAGAAAACAGGCATTTTTTTTATTTGCTCCTCAAATGAGGCTTTAAAGAAACCAAATGACTGTCTTGAATTCGCCTTCTGTTTGGTTTTACATAACCTGATAGGAATTGTATATTGTTTTTCCTTTAAAAAAGCATATATATATTCAATCGTTTTATTGATGAGGAATTTGCTTGAATTCAATGCTACCCCCCCCCCTCCCTCTCACACCCTCAACCGCCCCCCCCTGAAGTCCCGCAGTGGTCCGACGTATCAGATGTCTTTACAGTCAGAAAAGCTGCATCCAGGGTGTATTAATAACTGATCGTGGGCTCCATCGCTGTAAAATCACGCCACTGTGACGAATAACTGATAATTAAAGGTTCGGAATTAAAGGATCAAAGCTTCGCATCCTGCCAGAACTTGTTTAAACACGCCTGCTAATTGGATGAAGGTGTTGGTGATGGAGAGGGTGATGAAGATGATGAGGATGATGCTGGTGGTGACTAAAGCATTAGCAGCAGCGACGGTGGCGGCGGCGGTCGAATTTATCCAATTCCTATAACAGGTTATGATGATTCATTTTTCGCTCGAAATATATCGTGACGTAGAGCCGTGAGTCAAAATGTTCCCCCGATATCACCCGAAAGAATCGATAGCCTATTAATAGTAATATCAGACACCACCTTGGATGAGTTGGATTATTATAAACTATCGCTTTTTATGAATGAAAATGCCGGGGCAATGCGCGGCAACCCAAAACCGAGTTGTATTAAAGAGACACGACTATTATTAATGTTAATAGAAATCAGAACGTCCTTAATTGATAAAAACAGATTACAGCAAATCCTTTTAGCAAGTCCCAAAGTACCCGAATCGATCGCAACGGATAACAACGATGCAGAAAGGCCAGCACTAAGGCTACATTATGAGAAAAAAGCAACAAACACAATGTAGCACAATATAGGAGTTAATCATTATTTCTGCAGAACGCATTTATTATTTATTTCGTTAAATAAATAGGCCTACCGAAAGAATTTAATCTGATTTTTTTTGCAATGAAACCTACCATCAGGTTTGTTATTGACGCCCACCCCAACTCTGCAGAGCTGAGAGTGCGAAGAGAGAGAGAGAGAGAGGGAGGGAGAGAGGGAGAGAGAGAGAGAGAGGGGGGAGATTCTCGGTAAAGATAACACACGCGGAGACGCACGCACGCAGTGGTGAACGCACGCAGGCGCACGCCCGCACAAAAACACACGCAGCCCCATTTATGGACTGATCCGCTGACGTACATTGCAGAAAAGTGCTATAAAAAACCTTCATACATACAAAGTGTGTCGTGCCACCCCACAGACCCCTCCTCACCCGCCTCCGCTCGTCCCTCCTCCTCCACCCAACACGCCCACGCCCACAACATAATCCCACGTCTCTGTGGAAAGATATTAAAAATATTGCTACGTGGCCAGAAAATAGGCATTCTGCGAAAAAAGGATTATATATATGAACAAAAACAACGCCCGAAACATGCTGCAATAAAATAATTCAACTCTCTCGTGGTTTATGCGAACAAAATGCCACATATTTCTTTAAAATATCGAAATTGTTTCGGATCTCGTCAGACGCGTATCGTTTCGTTAAATAAATTAATGACTGATAATTATTTCTGCAGTAAACGTTTCTGTGATTATGATGAGTAGGAAACGGGCTATTATAGTCGCCAAGCCACCTTATTAAATGAGCATTTTTATGAATGTCGGGCAGTATAATAAGTAATATGATCCGTGTTGGTTTCACTGTCATATGAAATGAAGAGTAATGGGCTGTAATATGCAGGAACCGATCTGCGCGCATTACATTGCTGGGTGAGAAATTACCAAAAAAACAACAGCGGATAGTCTATAAATTCTAATACAATTAGAATTTTACTGGATCCATTAGTTTTGGAGCATTTATTTGAACACGCAGCCTGCAAGAAGACTCTTGATTAAAACAGGACTGCGAGAGTGGGCGTTGGGGCTTTTCTCTTCTGTTGCAGTTGTTTTGCCGTCATGCATTTGCTTCGTCTTGGACCAGAAATCTTAAATCGTTGACCAGAGGAGAAAAAAAACCGACGAGCAACAGAGAGAGGGAGAGAAGGAGAGAGAGGAAATAAACAATATCCACCGTTTCTGCATCGGTGCGAGACGAATATTGAGGCTACAAATCCTCCAGGAGAGCAGATAAATATAATCCCGGAGCGGTTTTGTGTGATGATCATGTAAACAACAGATAGAAGGCGTGCTCTTCATTTGTTTTTTTAAAAGAAAGGGAAAGAAAAATCGATGCTTTCCGAAAAATTGCATATCAAGCCATCTTATCTCTCTACATAACATCTGTCAGCGGATGCACTTTGACCACGCCCATCTTTATTGTAATACAGAGGAAATACTAGAACAATTTGTATACTGTAAAGCAGACTCGCTCTGGACAAAACCGAATTACACGAGTCAAAGCGATTAAGACCTACGTGTTTTGCTTTCCCTTACCCATTCTCGGACGGCGCTAGACCGACGGGGTAGGGCGCGCTCGGACTATATGTGTGGTTGTCAGTATCGAAGTGAAAAGCACCTTATGAATGAAACCGTGGAGCAGCCGTAGTAAAAACACAAGTGATTTGATGGCGATGACGGGAGGAGGGGGGCGATGGAGGGAGGGGAAGTGGGGTGGGGGTGGGGAGGGGGGGTAAAGACTAGGGCTATTTTTGGTCGATAACAAAAATCCAGAGGGTTTGACATCGAGACAAAACATGAATGCAGCAGACTAAACATGAGGGGAAAAAAGCACAGATGGATAAATAGACAGAAAGATAAAGATAGAAAGATGGGGCGACAGATGGCTAGTAGAGTTTTTTTTTTTCCTCACAATTTTGTGATGTGCACCGGGCATCAGTTCGTGCCGGCTGGAAGGATCACTGCAGCGTATTAAGTCCCACATTGGGAGCATGATTAGGCACAACGCAACGATTACGCAAATTATGTTGCAGTAAAGGCAGTGGTCGGAAACTCCACCAAAAAAAAAAAGACGGCTTCAAAAGCTCTGTTTCAAAAAAATCTCCAGCACGAAGACGAGTCCCAATTTAAACGCTTCACATGACTCAACGCTAATATGACAATGCACACGCGGAGATCTTCCATAAATATGGCATAACTTCGATTTTAAAAAAGGAAGGTGGTTATACGAGATATTAGTCACCTGGATCGGATTTCTGTTCGGAGTTATTTCGGTCACCGATGCCCACAATTAACACACCGGCGAAGCGAAGGCTGCATACTGTAGTTTTAAAGCCGAAGTTCCTTTGGAAAAAGCCAGAAGAAGCCCGCAAAGACGACAGCAACAAAAGAGTGACATGAAAAACAATGGATTGTGCTCTTACCTTTACGAGGGCTGACAACCACTGTGTGCGTGGTTAGATCTCCGCGACCAAGACTTGCATGTCCCAAAGTTTAACGCAGTGTGTGGGGGCTTATAGGTACCGGCAGTGTGGTGTGCGAAAGACCAGACGACCTAACATTTCAACTTTCACAATGCTCTGCAAAAACACATGGTAAAAGCACCAGCTATTTTAACGGCGAGTGCTTTTCTTTCCCTGTAGTTTTTTTTTTTTTTTTATAATTTAAGAATTGTCTTTAGAATCCCTTTTATTCTCCGTTAACAGACCACAGGCTCCCTCGCAATAAGGCTTACCAAAAGTTGAAAAAACAATCCCAGGTTTGGCAAAGGGGGGGCTGGGGACAGAGAGAAAGAGAGTTGGCGTCCACCCAGCGGTTTAGTCCATGCACGACTCCGGTGCCTCTGTCCAACGTGCTGAAAGCACAACACAGCCACGGTAACTAACAGGGGTCGACACAATATCTATATACTTTTTTTTGAGCGCCCACTTTAAACTGGTTTTCTTTCTCTTTTTTTTACTCCGCTGCTTCCCCACGTCTTGTCACGTGTACCCCCCCCCCCATTGCCAAACCAGTCCTGTTAATATTTGATCACATGTTGGTCGGACATTTCCTTTCAGATAACAGCACCTATATCGCAAATAGCATCCATGAAAAGCCGGTTCCATTCAGTGTACAACCACCTAGCCCCCCACACAGCCCCCCCAAAAAACGGCTCCACTCTCACGCCAAATGACAACTGGCAGCGCTGATACGGAGCACTATTGTTCCGAATGTCATGCTTATGACAAGTGTCACAGGTAAGTGGCACATGTTGCTTTTTTTTAAAACACGAGCACCGCACATAAATGACATACATACATATATGCATAAACCATAAAGCCCTGACACACAAACACACACAGACACACAGCCCTCCAAGACCAGTATCCATCCTTTCATCGCATCCACACATTGCGCGCAGACACAAGGCAATATTTCCTTACCTCTCTCACCGTGCTGGCATATCCACAGCCAAAGAAATGCCACACAATGTGTCTTTCCCCACAGGCTGTGTCAACATCAGCCCCAGCAGACATGGGTCTCGATACTGACTTACTCAACAAGCCACTGAGTCCAACCCTTCCAGCAATGCGTTGCCAGACTAAATAGCAAGCACGACATTTACTGGTAATCATGCTTTATATGCTGTGTGTTTCCATTGCTACTTACCATTTTCCCCTACGCTTTCCTGGAGATAGAAGTGTCTTAATATCCACTCACTCCAACAGATGCTGGTAGGTAATGTGTCTTGTTTGAAGTCATCATATGAGAACTTCTGCTGCGCTCAGTAGATCGCCCACCACTTCGCTGACTTATGAATCTAATAACCCTTTGCAATGTCGGTGGGCTTAAACTCTCTCAGGCAACACCTTGGTGGCTCTATACGCTAAAGACAAATACCAACAAGCCTTGGTTGTCAGAAAAAACGCGTGCACAGATATACGTAACACCCTCGCCCGGTCAACGCCATTAGGGGTCTTACGTGATTGAAATAAGCGACGCCAATCCAAGTTTATGGGGATGTCAGTTCCCGACTCATCGCACGCTCACTGCCTCGTGTTTTTTTTTTTTTTTTTTTTAAATCTGCATTGAGCAACGATGACAGACACGTACAACTTCTCAGACGTTTCCACGTCAACTAGTTGTGTGTTATAGACCGTTAACTCCCTCTCCGGCTAAGGGGCCACGCGCTAATTGCGCGCACGCACAATTGGTAATTTAAATGTTTTGGTTTTTTTTGGCACACATCGCGTTTGCGAACACAGACAGCACATTTCTAGCGCCCCTGTGTCTGCCTGTCAAGTTCTTGAGGAACTTGTTGCTGCTTAAATTGAAAAAAAAACACCCTTCTCCCCACCCCCCCCCCCCCCCTCGGACCAAAAACTCTCATACATACTTACATTGTCAAATCCTGTGGAAGTGCTGCGTTTTTTTCCTCGGACAGATATTACAGGGGAAAAAAAGTTAATCCACGTCCTCTGGAAGCGTGATTACTCGGGCACAACAGCGACCACAGCGTTAAGAGACAGAAATGATACTTTTCGATCAGGGATATCTGGAAGTTCAAAGATGAAATCTGTTTTCAGTAAAATTCCATCAGTTGCACGACCGACACTCAGCCAGCTGATTGTTACGCAGTGACGATGCGCTGTGCTTGTGAAGTGAAGCCCCAAATGCACTAACATGAGTAATAGGTGATATTTTCCTGACTCTTTGCCAGCATCACAAAGTTTCTCTAGGGTGTTTGTAAGAGGGGTGTCATTCTCGTGGTTAGAAAAGACTTATTTTTTGGTCATAGTTTAAGGAAATCACGCTTCATGGGTGGCGCGTCATCGGGACCCGGAGGCGTCCGCCAGGAACCATTAGCACTAATCTGACACATCCATGGACTTCTCTCACAAAAACAAAAACAGCTGCTCATCACGGGGCTTAGGGTAACTCGATGCTCATTTAGATACTCTGGGACGAGTCTACACGCTTTTTTTAAACAGAACTGCTCCGATTTGAATGTGTGCTGACAATATAATATGAATATATTTTTGTCAGCAACGTGAAAAAAACACGCAGATTTCTGTGTTGTCAGTGTCACTCGTCAGTATTGTACCACCAAACCCCAACGCATTCAAAAGTCTATCTTGGCAAACAGTTGATTCTGGTTTGGTCTGACAATGCATGTATTATGTCATCTTGGTTGTTGAGGCAGAGGCAAAAGAAGAGCAAAAATCTAAAGTTATTTTTCTCAACAGTTTTCTGCCAATACATTTCTGTCTCAAAGACACAAGATGGCATAAAAAGATAAAAAACTAGAATCGTGGATATTATTTGACAAGAAAAATGTATAAAGTTGTTCATGGCACCGCGCAACAAGTGCCGAAATTGAGATTCCCACATAGCTTATTATCCTTGAACTCCCTCCTTTAAAAATAGTTTCTTTTTTTTCACACAGCAGCTACTCATTACAGGCTGCAAATAAAAGGGAGTGACGTAAAGAGAGAGGTAACACATTTCAGTTCGGCGTGGACACCATGCTGTGGATGAACAATTCCCCTTCATTCGCTTCACATTATTAAAGGATCAGGATGTATGTGTCCCATCACCTCTCGGACTCCTACCATCATCCTACTCCCGGGCCTTTCTGATTCCTGACGTGGTAACTCGACTTGCTCCTACTTGTGATGTTGTTAACACTTCCTCTGCTCCCACAGCTTTTCACAGACTCTGTTACTGACTCATGCTCGTCCCTTTTCCACTATCCATACCCGCCCCCGCACTCTTCACCACAATATCTTATGGCTGAGTCTGAGGTCACAGATCAATCACTTCATCCCCTGGGCTGCATGTGACCGCATGGCATTTTGCTCTATGGCCCGCCAAGATACTTCACCTCTTTTGAGCGTCCTCTTGGAACTTTTAAGTGTTGGAGCGGAATATGTTTTGGCAGAGGGAGTGTTATTAAAATGTGTAGCCAATGCGCTGCACCGTGGGATAAAAATGGAGAAACGTTTGAGCCATTGATATACTGATATTCATTAAAGAGCAAAGAAGATGTAACAATAATAGCAGGAACGCTCCCTTTTTACTGGTTGTCTGAGTGCCACTTGTTGTTACAACTTTCCTTCCAAAGCAGCAACCCACCTGTGATCTAATCCTACAATCCGCTTACAAAAGCCTGGAAATGAATCCCAGCTCCACCTAGTCAAATGACAACTGTGTAAAATGAATCAACGAAAGTATTGCTAACTTCCCTTAAACACTGAAGTCATCATATTTCCCTGTTTGCATCTGCTAATTGCATTTGGGCCGTGCCTAGTCTCTAGAATCATTACTTAAACGTAAAGTGCCAGCCTAAAATTCTGAGTCAATCAGCGCTTTCTTTCCCGTCACCGTAATGACAACTATTAGTGGAGGATGTATCCAGTCGGTGGCCACGAGTATAATTACTCTGTCTTAATCTTTGTTCCATAAATATTGATAACAAGAGCCCCACGTCATGTGTGACTAGTACCTGTGGTTAAAAATAGAAGGCCTGCTGATGGCAGGTTATCTCTGACTGTCTGATCCCAGTGTAACCCCCTCCTCTCTCCACCTCTTGTATCTACAGGAAGTTGAGCTGTGGGACAAAGCAAACAAAGAGCAGAGAGAACACCACAAATACTCTGATTACACAGCAGTAAGTCAAACTATCCCAACTCATGTCACCTGTATGCAGCCTTTAACAGTCAAAGTATAAACCTAACCTGTGTAGTATACAAAGTCTTCATTCATTTACATAAAAACCCAATTTCATAATGAACCAGTCAAAATAGCTTAATCCAGTCACCCCTTATGGCAATTGGCTTCTTGCTACACATCTGTCATTCTGTCGTTCAGCGTCATAATATTTCTGTGTAGTAAGGAATTAATTGCAGGCTCAGCCGTTGACTCAGAGCTCAGGTCTTCAAAAAGTAATGCAACCCCGTAAATAATGGCTGAACTGCCACCATACTTCACACTGATGAGGAGCGCTGCATTTGTGCTAATTCCGGCATTCTATGTATAGTGTGATGGACAGTGTCAGGAAGAACGACATTTGGGTTGCCCCAGCGGCTTGGCAGGCTGAAATTCGACTGAATGTGCTGGTGTGATATTGAGGGTTTCCATCTGGCCTTGCTTAGGACCGTATCGTCTGTCTTTTTTTTCCAACCGTCTTCTACCAGTTCAACACCAGGTGAGTATGTAAACTTTGTGTTTTGGGCCTGAGGGGAGGTACCTTCAGCATTGGGTTGTGACAAACAAGTATATTGATCTCGTCACTCTGACTAACCTGCGTCTGCTCGGGTGGAGGATGCTGCCTGTGGGCTGCTTTATGACTTCCTGGGTGTGATGGGTAATCTGGGCCTGCCACTCGACTGGGAGGCTGCCAAACCACAGTACGCGGCAAGGAGGTGGAAGACGAAATTAGGATTTTAACTACCTAGAATATGTTCGATACATTGAGTTTATTGATCTAATGTTGCACGGTCAGAATGAATGTGTTTTCATTCTGCAGCGTAGTGCGGAGAGATGAGATTATGTGTTAGCGTGAGCATGATCGCGTATGGTAAGGGCTGATTTGACTAGATGCATTTGCATCTTGTTGCTTAGCCAAAGGCATTATTGGTTCCCCGTGGTGGTGACCTGAAATTTTGCATGCACGGCAACTCTGCAAATGGTAGCCCCTTCATGATCAGCCAAACATTGCAAAGTAGAATTAGAAGCACTGACCTTCAACGCAGCACATATATGTAACACATGACGACACATTTCATGATTGTCTCTCCTCCCCAGTTTTTCGGCTGAACTCTACGAGGAAAGGAAAAACAATGATATGTAAGTGTGTCTGCATTTAGAGTCAGATTAATATGGTAAACTATGTTCATTAATAGTCCTGTTCTCAAGTCAAACTTTAACGAAACAATGACTAATAAGACGACCACCGGAGTAAAATGCTGTGAAAAGAGTGTGGTAAAATTAACAGCATGCATATTTACAGACGTCCTTCCTATGCAATGCTGCACACATATCGAGGGGCGGAAGGGGCGAGTCGGTACGTTTTTGATCGCGAGGTCGGATATTCACTTTGAGCCTGCTGAAGCACAGCACGGCTGGGGATATTGAAATGGATTTGTAAACTGGATGCTGCCAACCCAAAGTTCATCAGAGGAGTTGTGTGTGTGTGTGTACATTTCCAGTATAACCACTAACCATTGTAAACAACCCGCAGTAAAACTAAGAGCAAGCCGACTTGAAAAGGTACGTTCAGACAAGGTCAGCCTGCCTGCATATTTAAAAACCCTATTTAATGACGCCTACACTATGATGAATGGACTCTTTATCTGCTTAGGAATGGACGGATCAGGAGTTTGGGCCTTTCTCCTGGTTGTCTCACATAGACGACAGTAGCGGCAGCCTGCAGAGGAAGTGGACCTGGAGGCCGGCGGCTGAAATCCCCGGACCGACTGAGAAAAGCTGCACAGCCGGAAGCAACACTGTGCTCTGCCTCAACAGCACCGAGTCACTGAAGTCCCAACTGATCAGTAAGAGCAGTGTCGGACCGCGGCAGCATACTGGGCAGCTCCCAGGTGCGAGTGTGTGAACTTTCTTTTTCCTTTGTCCGGTGAAATTACTGGTTTTAATAAAGTGTTTGGACTTATAGTCAAAGAAGCTGGAAAATAGTTGTGTAACACCTACGTAAACCAAGAGCCTCGTTCTGGAGGATGGAAACAGCAGTCAACAATCAGCACAAAGTCTTTTGGTGAGATTGTTTTCGTAACTCCCAATTATTTGTTATTTGGGTTTTTATCATTTGGATTTACATTTGAGGTACAGATGAACCTCACTGGACTGGATTTTGGGAAAATGAGAACAGAATAATCAAGATACATGTATAATCCAATTGATCTTTCAGAAGATGGAGCCCAACGCCTTTGACTACAATACAAAAAACATATTTTCCACCGCAACGTTTTCTGAAATTGGAAAAAGTTCCTGAAACAATTTAAATGACAAAAAAGCAACCA